TTTGGCCAGCAAAAGAGATCATTTCAACCGCAAACAGCAAGAGATGAGGGATTATTATTTCCTCCTTCCATCCCTTTTTTCTGTTTAATCTGATTACTAACAACTTCTAATAAATTGACATAGTTTATGATTTTAATTGGAAAATGAAGTGTTTTTAAATAATAAACCCGTTTCTGATTCTGAGATTTATTTTTGACATATGGGTGTTGAGAGATGTATCCATATCTCTTAATGTTGCTCTCAAAGTGCACAAGATTGATGCTTTTAACTTCAGTATTTAAAAAAAGTCTTCCTGGGGGACCCCAGAGGAGGTGAGTTCCCCCCAAAATAGCACTTTATCTCTGCTTATGTAACTCCGGTGTAGTGTCCCCTCGGCAACATATCACTCAGAGCTGGTGATTACTTTCCTGCATTTCAATGGACAGATTATAAAAAGGACACGTGAGCTGCATTGCTTAAGAGATCCTCTCATGCTATCTCTTTTACAAAATAAGTGTCCAGTCAACAACAAATTTCAGTGATCGTATAGTGGTAGTATCTTTTTCACAAGCAATGTGAAACATTAAACTTATACCTGTCACATACCTGCGTTGATCTCCTGGAGTGTCTCTACTCTTTCTTCTCCACATCTCTTGTCCACCATCAGAGATTGCAAACATTTCAGAAACAGCTAGAGGTAGGAGACAAACAACTTGTTCGCTGGGCATGTCAAAAACCTGCTTTGATCAAGACTTTAGGGAGCCTTTCAGCCCCTCTAGCAAAGGGACTGGAAAGCAAGCTTTGAAAATGCAGTACCATCTACATGCTGTCATGTTCCAGACACTGCTCTCAACCACTCAGGGCCTGCTTGAATACCTGCAGAAAGAAACAATTGACTTGGTGCAGGCAGTAGATTACAAAACAGCAGTTGAGAACACACTGAAAAGTTACCAAAGTAACGAGAAAGCACATGAGGTCTATGACAAGACCAAGGCCTTGTGCAATGATCTTGATATTCCCGAAACTGTGACACAGAGGAAGAAGCGTAGAAACATGGAAGACTTTGTAGTCGAGGCATCATGTGGAGCAATGTGAAATATTAAACATAAATAAACTGGTGTACAAAACTCACATACCTGCATTTCAATGGACAGCATCAAAGGACTCGTGAGCTGGGTTCTGGTGCTCAGATTAGCTATTGATGATCACGTTGATAAATCATATAAAACAAATAGCCAATCACACTAAAAACATGTTGCTGTGACTGTGAGCATTAAACAATTAACATTAAACTAAACAAACACAACAGAACGTTATTGTCCTTATAAAATAAAAACATAAATTTTGTCCACCGAGATAATACAGGCACCTTACCCTCAAGAGATCCTCACGTGCTATGAGAATCTCCCACAATCCATTGCCGTAACAAAGCTTTTTGTTTGTGACACCAGATGGCGCAATTGTGTATGTGCGTGTGGGGAGTCTTGCAGTAGAAAATTTGACTGTAGCGCCGCCACTGTGGGCTAAGCCCCGAATGTTTCCAGGTTCAGGCGACGCCCCTGGACCCCACCATAGCACCACACACATAACAAGCTGTCCCGAGTTCCTCCGGCTGCAGTTCCGCAGACGGCCGGTGTGTGGCAGCAGAGCGCTGGGAGCAGAGGGAGGTGAGTATATGACGGATGACGGATGCGACGGAAATACACCCGAACATATCTGGTAGCCCGAACATATCTGGTACTGACACCGGAGGACCGAGGATCGAGGAGCGAGGAGCGAACATGGAGGAGCGATAACCGAGGAACCACCAGACCATCCTCCGATGAAATCCTCAGATACTCACCCCGCCCCCTTACTGTGTATCGCTCACTGATTGGACGAGGCAGTGCATGCGCTGATCTGATGCTTCTTGACATGAGAGCAGAGTGAAGACAATACATGAACCTCACGGGAGTCACTCCTCAGTTTATACCGTGTTTTGTTTCAATTCATGTATCATTTAGTTACAAATATGTGATATATCTGAACAACAAAGTGGTCAAAAATCATTTAATTCATTTTTTGGAAACATTTTCATGATCGCTTTTTTCGTTTTACATTTTCATTTATTGTCATTTCCATTCAGTCATTAAGTGCTATTAAAATGTTAATATGCTACATATCCACACAAACACACAAAGTGTGCAATCCAATGAATGTTAATCTAACTGGGTTTTGATAGATAACATATCTCTTTTTCTTCTCTCAATTATTTTATTTCTATTGTGCACTCTAATCAATATTAATCAAACTATTGTTCGTTTATACATTTTAAGAATGGCGTTTATCTTTTTTGAGAATGAGTTCTTATTTTATTTATTGGGGTCTACAACAGATGATACAAATGTTTGTGTCAGTAAATGTGTGCTCACAGAGGCGGGGGGGTGTGTGGAAATAACAGGGACAGAGCTGCTGTCAGACGATCAGCTGTGCAGCGTCATCACAAACGGACGTCGCTTCACGTGACGCTCCGGAGGAAAGGACGTCCCATTGCTCTTACAACTCATTTCCCTGCTTCTCGTGGTTTCCTTGCGTCCCTCCATGCTTCACTGGTGGGAGGGACTAAACGCAGGGAAACGACGCAAGTGAGGGAAGCAAGTATTTCATTTAATCGACCTGAGAAGCAGCCCAGAGGTCCTTCTCACTTCGGTTAAATGGATTCCTTGCGTCCCTCACTTGCGTCGTTTCCCTGCGACTAGTCCCTCCCACCAGGGAAGCATGGAGAGACGCAAGGGCTGCTTCTCAGGTCGATTAAATGAAATCCTTGCTTCCCTCACTTGCGTCGTTTCCCTGCGTTTAGTCCCGAAGCATGGAGAGACGCAAGGAAACCACGAGAAGCAGGGAAATGAGTTTTAAGAGCAATGGGACGTCCTTTCCTCCGGTGCGTCACGTGAAGCGACGTCCGTTTGTGATGACGCTGCACAGCTGTTCGTCTGGCAGCAGCCAGCTCTGTACCCGTTATTTCCACAAACACCCCCGCCTCTGTTAGTGCACATTTACTGACATAAACATTAGTATCATCTGTTGTAGATCCAAATACATGAAATAAAATAAGAAGTCATTCTTAAAATGTATTTAAACGAACAATAGTTTGATTAATATTGATTAGAGTGCACAATAGGAATACAATTATTCAGAGAACAAAAACAGATATGTTATCTATCAAAACCCAGTTAGATTAACATTCATTGGATTTCACACTTTGTTTGTTTGTTTGGATATGTAGCACATTAACATTTTAATAGCACTTAATGACTGACTGAATGGAAATGACAATAAATGAAAATGTAAAACGAAAAAAACGATCATGAAAATGTTTCCAAAAAATGAATAAAATGATTTTTGACCACTTTGTTGTTCAGATATATCACATATGTGTAACTAAACGATACATTAATTGAAACAAAACACGGTATAAACTGAGGAGTGAGTCCCGTGAGGTTCATGTATTTTCTTCACTCCGCTGGGGTATTGCTCTCATGTCAAGAAACATCAGATCAGTGCATGCACTGCCTCGTCCAATCAGTGAGCGATACACAGTAAGGGGGCGGGGCGAGTATCTGAGGATTTCATCGGAGGATGGTATGGTGGTTCCTCGGTTATCGCTCCTCCATGATCGCTGCTCGCTCCTCGATCCTCGGTCCTCCGGCAGAAATAAGAGCCATGGGACGGTACTCAAGATGGCGCAGGCAAATCAACTTCCGGTGAGACCGAGGACCGAGGAGCGAGGAAATGAAAATACTCGACCTGAGAAGCAGCCAAGGAAACCACGAGAAGCAGGGAAATGGACGTCCTTTCCTCTTGACCGTCACGTGAAGCGACGTCCGTTTGTGATGACGCTGCACAGCTGATCGTCTGACAGCAGCTCTGTCCCCGTTATTTCCACACACACCCCCGCCTCTGTTAGTACACATTTACTGACACAAACATTTGTATCATCTGTTGTAGACCCAAATACATTAAATCAAATAAGAACTCATTCTCAAAAAAGATAAACGCCAGTCTTAAAATGTATAAGCGAACAATAGTTTGATTAATATTGATTAGAGTGCACAATAGAAATAACATAATTGAGAGAAGAAAAAGAGATATGTTATCTATCAAAACCCAGTTAGATTAACATTCATTGGATTGCACACTTTGTTTGTTTGTTTGGATATGTAGCAAATTAACATTTTAATAGCACTTAATGACTCACTGAATGGAAATGACAATAAATGAAAATGTAAAACGAAAAAAGCGATCATGAAAATGTTTCCAAAAAATGAATAACATGATTTTTGACCACTTTGTTGTTCAGATATATCACATATTTGTAACTAAATGAAACATGAATTGAAACAAAACACGGTATAAACTGAGGAGTGACTCCCGTGAGGTTCATGCGTTTTCTTCACTCCGCTGGGAAACTGCTCTCAAGAAGCATCAGATCAGTCTATGCGCTGCATCGTCCAATCAGTGAGCGATACACAGTAAGGGGGCGGGGCGAGTGTCTGAGGATTTCATCGAAGGATGGTCTGGTGGTTCCTCGCTTATAGCTCCTCTATTATCGCTCTTCGGTCCTCGATCCTCTGGCAGAAATAAGGTCATTGGGACGGTACTCAAGATGGCCCATACAAATCAACTTCCGGTGAGACCGAGATCGAGGAGCGAGGAAATGAAAAATAAGAGAAGTGAGAAGGGGCCCAGATCCACACGAATGGATTAACATCGATTTAATACATTAATGTAGCCTTTGTTTCTGCTAAAAGAGGTGTCGACAAGCTGGGGCAACAAGAAAATTGGCGTAATCGAGTGTGACTATTACAAAATAAATCATTATTATATTAATATTGACAATAACAACCGACCGTCGGGGTAGCATTTGCTTGGCATTTCCGGTTATTTCTCCACTGGTTAACATGGGTTAGCAATACCGTGTAACTGTCACGTTTGAAGGGACGAAATCGTGACATCTTCACGTCTCCCAGCATGATAAATAGTTTTTTTTGGCAATAATACTTGTTTTATTGGGAATATGCAAACAAAATCAAAATCCTAAAAGTCTGAAAACAGGATTTGCTCTCTACCATTGGACAAGATGTATTGACAATGTGTATTGACAAAACCTGTGACTGATAAATGCTCAACTTTTCATATACAGGCACGCTGAAAAATGTTCATTGAAAAAAAATATTTCCTGCGTAATAATTTTTCAGATAAAAGTAGGCTATTAGTCAGGACTCCAGAGAAAGTCAAAAAATACAGTATGTCAACTCTTGATAAAGCCCATTTGTGCAATGTTGTGCTGTAAGAACAGTTCAATTAATCTCACAGGGAGTCCCTCTTCACATGGAAGACCAGACCTTTCTTGTATATCAGCATGGCGATCTCATTGTCCAGCTGTTCCACATCTGTAATTTCTCCTTCTCTGGAGCTCCTCAGTGCCTCCCCTGTAGAGCCGGGACTCAGACCCTCATCACTGGATTCTCCTGACATCCTTGAATCCCATCTCTCGTTGTCCTCATCCTCATCAGTGTCTTCCTCCCACTCTCCAGCGAGGACAGCGCTCTCCTCTGCGTCCTCAGGGACAGACTTTCCTTCTGGGTGTAGCTGGAGCAGTGTCATCTCATCCACCTCCTCCTTTCTCTCCAGAAAATCCTGTTCAAATTAGCAGAGGAATTTAGGATTTTAAACTCTAGTATTGTCATACTGTATGAACAGAGTGTAAAAGGCAGATTCTTAGATTGCTGCCTTATTAATAGCATAAATAATATGCAAGTATAAAATCAAAACATTGGTTTAAGTTTAATACATTTACAATGAATTCAAGTTATTCTACTCACAAAAAGTGAACACATTAAAATGTATACCATTTAGTGTGAGATATTTGCACAATTAACTCAAACAAACAAGACAGCATTTTACAACAGAATAGTAAGAAATGGCCCATCTTTTAGAGAAACTGGAACTAACTAAAGATTCAACTGGTTTTAGAAGAAACAGCTGCAAACCGTAAATAACTGTCTCTTACCTGACTCTCTGGTTGAAAAGGTATGAAATCTGGAATAACAGGTGTCGGAACAGCAGGGAAGATGTTTTCTTTGATTCTAAGTGTGAGAAGAGGGTTAAAAACAAAACAAAAAAGGACACATTCTGAAAAACTGAGTGGACATATGATAAACCAGTACAGATTGCCTTCACCAACTTAAACCATCAATTTGCTATATGGTCACAAAAACAATTAAGAACTACCTAGCTTCAAAGCCAGAACAACAGGAGTATGTGTTAGTCTGAGTTTGAATCAGCTTTAAGTCTGTCTGTATAATTTGTTAGGTTTATTAATATTTTCATCTCAAACTGTAGAATAATACAGGAGGCTTCACCTACCTCTTCAAGATGCAGGTGCACAATGTTGTGAGTAAAAAAAACAGAATCAGCAGGCAGAGACTCCACAACACTAATTTTGGAGAAAAAATGAAAATTGTGTTTGCTCCCACATGTGTAAAAACGGCTACAGTGACCTGTATGTAACTAAAAATACAGAAATACAAGGCAGTTTTAATACCATTCACAGGCTTCTCTGGTGGTGTGTTGATAGTGACTGTGGCTTCAGGTCCTTCTCCTACTCGGGTCACTCCAACCAGGCTGACGTGGTATTTCGTTCCTTGCGTCAAGTTTCCCAGCCTATATTTCATCACTGAGGCTGATATTTTATGGCACTCTGATGAAATGAGGGAAAACTTTCATAAAGGGACACACTGCTGACACTTAAACACACTTGGCTGTGAAAGTGAGTTTGTTGTTCAATCAAAAGTGGGTCAATATACAAATACATAATCAAGTAAATCTAATTGTTTACTTGAAAATCTACAGATGAGTAAAACGATGTTTCCAACCTTTGCGCTCATCTTGTGAACTGTCTTTCACGCTGCACAGGCTGTAGTGTGTGAGGAAACCTCGCTGGTCTGCAGAGGGAATGGCTTTCCAAGACAAGTTAGAAGAAGTGTGTGTTTCACTGAAAGCAGTGAAGTTCTGAGGTTCTCTCTGGGGAGCTGCAGAGAAAAAGAAAATGTTCGGTCAAAGTTCCTAAATTAATAAACTTAGCTGTGCTTACTGAAACTTGATCACCAGCCTAACCTGGATCAGTGTCAGCATCATATCTCATAAATACACTGCATGCTGGCAACATTAGACAGGTAAATAACTGTTTTCTCAGTCATGATAACAGTCACATACAATAATGTATCTGATGTTGCACACATGAGATGAGGAGTAAGGATTATCATTAATGGGAAATACCTGTGGGATTATAGCATCTCTTAAAGTGTAAATCAGCGTTGGACTGTACATGAATGGTAGCCAATATGGTGTTGCGTCTCGTCTTTTTAATTATGAGGAAACCTTATCTTATAAGACACTTTATTATGTTTTATTTATTTATTTAGGGACATCAAGGGGGATCTCTTTTTGTGATTTGTGTGAAATCTTGGATGTACTATATTATTGTATTTAAATCTAATTTAAACAAACTTACCATCCTCTTTTTGATAATAGATGCACATTGTTACTGTTTGTAGTTTCCGGCCAACACATTTGTGTTTAAAGTACAGGTAGCGAACGTAGTCCTTCATGTCTGTAACACAAACAGATTTATAGTTTCCTGGCACAGAAAATAGTTCTTATAGTGAGTCACAACATCAAATATACAAAATAAGAACATTTGTTGTATGAAAACGATTTAGTCTTGTTTTTCTTTCCATAGTCTTTCGACAGAACTAACCCATTCTTTCTTTCTTCGTACTCTTTGCAGTTAAGTGCGTCACATTTTCAGGCCTTGAATCTCCATCTTGAAGCTCGTACAACTCAACGTATGTTTTCTTCTTTAATCTTTCATGCAAATCCGATGTGTTGTCACAAACTGCCGTGAAGAAAATAAATATTAGCTGTTGGTCGACTGAAGGATAAACATACTTGATATGTGACACTCAGGCAGGCACACACACACACACACACACACACACACACACACACACACACACACACACACACACACACACACACACACACACACACACACACACACACACACACACACACACACACACACACTTCGGCCTACTTTTTAACCCTGCAGCTGGTACGGCTGGTATTTGTAGGATTGCTGGTGGAGAACTTCCTGCTGCGTTTCTGCCGTTAACAAAGATTTTGACGGCAGAGTACGAGACAAAAGTAGTATATGTAGTCTCAGTCGTGTTGATGGGATAATCTCTTATTTTCTTACAAGTACAGCCATTGGAAGACTGTGTGTCATTCAGACTGTACGTCGCAGCATGAGGCATCTTCTAAAGAGCAGAAGAGACAAACAGCAAACTGAACCACTGGACAAGGTCACCATGATAAACTGTGAGTGGTACAAAGCAGCACCAGGTGAGAGAGAGAAATATAAGATGAAAAAGTGTAACAAACCCTGTTTAGAAACAGTCAAGAGAGTTTTATGTGCCAGGTTTCAACTCATTCAAACTAGTGAGGTTGAACATTTTCTTTAAACTTTTAAAATAGTCACGAAATGTTTATCTCTGGCAACATTTGTTTCATAAAATGACAAGACAACCTGAAGCTTAAATTCTACTCTAATAGTTCAACGCGGACCTTAATGGTATATATAATTAATTTTACACAATAACCTCAAGGGCAATTTAGTTATTTGCAGTCAAATTAAAACATTTTGATGGTGTTTTTTCTTTGCGGTAGAAAGGGTTTAACTGCGTACATTGTGAATATAAGGAATTTACTGTATTACATACATAATATCAGGAATATACAGAGCATTTTTTTTATTTAATTAAATGCATCCCTATATTTGTATGTAGCCAGTGGCTCCCCAAGACGCTCTGGGGGCCCCAGGCAGAAGAGACATGCCACCCAACACATCAAGCACAACTGTAGTAAATATGTCTTTTCTTATCTCGACCCAGCATGAATGTATTGGTGTTGTTTCCGGGCACTGGTTTACCTTCCACGTTAGCGCCACCTTTCGAGTCCCATTTGAAAGGGTTATATTCATGGTTACTTCAGGTTTTTGTTCCAGCTCTGCAATACAAATACAAGATAGGGATAATAAGGCTAGTATCTTAAGGCTGCATCTGCTCACATGTTTCCATCTACAAAGGTACAAATAAGGAACATGTATGCATTTTGAAAAACAAATCTAGGGCGGGCAGCCTAATGTTCTTAGGGAGGTGTTTTATAGGTGTTGAAATACTCTCAACAACCTGACTGCTATTAATAGATCAAATGCTCTGACGAAGAACAAAAAGGCTGTCACAGGACTTCAACCAACCTTCCTGTCTGCGCGTGTCATTGTGCGTCACCATAATCTTCCACACACTGCTAGCTTGATAGCTGTGAGTACTAACAATGGACATTTTTATATTTTTCATAAAGGTAATTCTGGGATATTGGTCCTGAAAGGGAGTCCTGAAAAGGGAGTCCTGAAAGGAGCGCTGTCAGTGTTACAAATTGTTGTTCTTCGAGCAACTCTCATTGGAAAATAGTTAGCAAAACTGTTCTGGGTTTTAGGTTAAATGATAAAAATCAGACTAACTCTTAATGGCTTCTTAAGGTTACCTAGCCACACTTTGTAACCCTGGATAATGTAATGTTAAGGGGTGGTAGAGAGGACTGATATTTCTAGGATAAATAATTGAGTTTGAGTTATCCAGTGACAGATATCAGTACATTTTCTCTGGTCTCAGTGAGTCGTTGTGATTTGTGAAGCCACGCACTTTATCAATCAGAAGTCTTTAGCAAAATACTTGAAATCAGGGAGTTTACCTGCAGGAACAATCACAACAGGAGACCAGTCGCTCCACAGTGGGTTTAGGGCCTTAGTGGACCGATGTCTGATTTTAACCTGGTAAACTGTATCCTTTAACAGATTCTCAACAAGCACATGGTCTGTTGGATTAAAACAAAAACAGAGATATTTAATGAGTTTGAAATGTACACATTTTCTATTCTCAATTCATTTCTATTTAATATATTTATATTTGCTTCCTATCGTCAATAATACCACCTTAAATCGTCAATAAATCGTCAATAAAACCACATGAAAGACCCAAAGCTAACAAAGAATTACACTAAACACTAAAAACCAAAACCTGTTTCCATACTCTGATATCTGTTCCTCTTCAACATACATGTAGTTCTCCATTGTTGCACTGTGAAATCCTCCTACTTTATAATGAACCAGGCAACTGCATTTTAGTTTGTGTGAATATCACATTCACTGCTGTGCTGCTGTAAACACACACTTGTTCATATTAGGACACAGAATATAATCCTCAGGAAATGCACAATTTCTTCTCAGTGACATCAATGTTTGACTGAGCCTGTGTAACATCACAGATAAGACATTGTTGGTTTTGATATCTTTGAGGAATTTATTGTGGGAAATAAATATGAACTTAAAAACACTTGAATTATAAAGATTGAAGAGACAACTCACGCATTGAAGTGTCACTGGTGGTATTTGTTGTTATCTGTAATAGCAATACGGTTAATAAGTTAAATGAATTGATTAGCAACAACTTCAGTTGTATTAAACTTTGGAAATAAAATCATCCTTACGTGTTTCCATGAATCTGTGCGGTGTGCATCTCTGCGTAACAGGATTTCTGCTGCAGCTGGATGCTTCTCTGATGCCGTCCAGTTCAAGCTGAGGTTGTTTTGTAACCAGGACATGGAAATGTGTTTTGGTGCTTCATACTTAACTGTTGAGGAAAAGCAAAAATAAATGTTTTATGATGTTTGTTTATTTACAATTATTCATATAAACGTTTGTACTTTATCAATAGCAATAGCGGCAACAACAGTGTTTTGAACTCTCATGTTGTTGGGTGAAATAAGAGGATCTTCCAGTACCTGTGTGTGAGAGCACAACAGGCCTCTTGGTGGACGCGCAGCTGGAGTTTCCTATGCGAGCTTCAACCCAAATGTCATATTCTTCCTCTACGATTCCAAGCTCATCCTTGGTAATTATTATCCATGTCTCCTTGGGCGCATTTTTGTTTCTGTGGCTTTATTGAATGGATTGAAAATAGAAGAAAAACCTTTTACATGTCCATATACCATTAGACTGAAGGACCACTTGACATCCAATTTGTTACTCTTAAGATTTTTTTAAAACAAGCCAGGTTAATTGTTTACCCTTAAATAACGCTAAATAACCATTTCCTGGCTCGGTGTTAAATGTAAAGACATCACAGTTATATCAATCTTCTCATCTATTCAAGAAAGCTTGAACATCGTTGTTGGTTAAGTAGATGTTGCCGCTCAAACAAAGAACAATACTCACACATTGTTCATGTAAAGATCAAATGTCACATCGCTCTCAGTGGTTTTATTCATGCTCCATTCACACCTGTATTCGGGAGATTCAGCGGTTCTTCTGAAGCACTCGGGACTGGAAGGAGCCTCACATGCTGACCCTCAGGAGAGACACATTTCAAATGATCTCATTTATCCATTTTAACATTTATTTTACTGAGTCTAGAAATAAAACAGAGGCTGTTTTCTTATTTTATTTAACCTAATATATTGATACTCCAAATACATTGTCTCCTGTTATTTCAGGTATACTGTGAGGCTCTTTTTATTGCACTATGCAGACAAGGTTAGAGGTTTGGCAATTTGTTTAAACTCTGAACCTCTTCCCTTAAGGTTGATCTGTCAAACTGAGAAGTCAAGTTAAAAACTGAGGAATTATATTTTAGCTTGTACATCCTATAATAGAACTAACCCAACAATATGTGTATAACCATGTTAGACAAAACTATTATGATAGCACTTCAATACGGATGCACAGAGCAGCACCCTGCAGATGCAATCTGTTGGTGGAAACCACCAGATGCTGATAAGCTAACCAACATTTTGTGGGTGACAGTTTACTTTTATTGCTTAAGGATTTTCACTTTCATATGTGTGACTAAAACATTGCACTGTCTTCTTTGTATATGATCAGATAAAAGGTTAACAGTAAATGCTATCATTAAGTCACTTAACTAAAGTAAGATAAGAAAAGATAAATAGCATGTTTCTACCTTTGCCGACCGTTGTAAAGAGCAAGCACACAACAATGCATTCATGTAAACTCCAGTGTTTCAAAGTTTCCATGATGTTGTGTCAAAAGTCTCGTAGGCTCATTCTCCTGCGTGTGGGAGCCCATGTATTCAACCTGCCTTAATGTAACTCACTTGTCTTTCTCAGAAATGTCAGACAAAGTTTCACGTCCCTCATGTTATATGAGCAGCAGCAAAAACCACAAGTGTCAGGGGCGGGGGGAGGTTTGTGTTTGACGCATTTGCAGACACACACAACAGTTATCCTGAAAGTGATGACATTTCAAACCAATTTTGTAATTTCTTTACCTTCTTTTAAAATCATTTGCCAACAATTGTTGCAGAATCTACATCAAAGACAAACGGAAGGAGACTCTGGAAACTACAGCAACAGAGTTCAGACACCTACTGTAATGTGTCTGCGTTTCTAGGTCCGCCACTAAGTGAGCTGCATGCAGACCATCAGGATGGAAGAAGGTAGTTAGTCCAAGGAGTTTGTAGCAGAAGGGGAACATGTGCATCTGCCTGGATTTTCTCTTTTCATTTCATTTTGATGTGTTACTGACATGTTTAGGGCATCAACCTCTATACAAATGTAGCTACCAGTTGCCAGATTGCAAAGAGAACCGTATAAAGCGAAATAATCCTTTCCTCTGTGCATTGAACATTTCTTATGTATGGTAAATGTATTATTGCTCAAAATTTGACATTTACACATACATATTTTACAACAATTAGTTATAGTTTAAATTCTTGAAAAAGCTAAGTACTTGCATATAAAGAGCAGTTAACTGTATATTTTGCACAAGATACATTGTATGGGTCCATATTGAGTGTAGTAATTCACATTCGATGCTCTTGTCTTGTGAGTATTTACAGCAGCAGGGTGGTGTATGTGTGGGATTAATTTAAAATACTCTTGACAACAATGAAGCTCTGTGACAGATCAGGCTTTAGCTAACTAGAAAGTATGTGATAGTAGGACAAAATGAGAGTTGATTATGTTTCTTTCATGGAGTTTGATAACCATAAAAAGAATAATATTTGGCTTTCTGAAAGCAATAAATACAATTTTAAGAATGCAGAGTGGAATGTTGATTCTCTGTGTGTTTTGAAGGACAGTGATCCCTTCATAAAAATTGTTATCTTCCTTTGATTTAATGTTTTTGAAAATATATATATTTAAATGATGCTGTAGTTTGTTACTAAATTGGGATGCCATCATTGTACAACTATTTTTCTAGCTTGCGTTGGTCCAACCGTCAATCTTTCTCCTGTATTTTCCCTCTTCTTACTTCCTCATTCCTTTCCCCGTTTCCTATTTACACAACGTTTCAGTTTCATACAAAATGACTTGCGCTTTTATCTTGAAAAGTTGACTTCTGTACAAGAGGAGCTCTGGAGAAGGGCAAAGGATCCTCAGGGGTCTATGATAAAAGTTAACAAAACATTTTGTTCTACGGGTAAACAGATCATTTACAGGACAAAATCAAGCTCGAAAGATACAATAGTTTTCAGCCAACAATACACATCAAATCCCAATTCAATTAGCTGAAACTTTGAGCTTGTGTTCGTCCACGTCCTTTGGCCCCTCTCTGGAAACTGGAACTTTGTATGAATGGGAAATGGGGGAATAAATGAGGATTTAGGAAGAGGGATAATGGGGAGAATGATCATTGGCAGGACCAACACTGGGTAGAACGTTTCAAATAGTTATACAATGTTGGCATCTCAATTTTGTCAACAGATTAAGAAAAACAAAAAATTGGAAACCCCTTTCATTAACCTCCATCCAACTCCGAGTGCTTTTGAATTTGGGAAGGTGAAACCCTATAACTTGATATTTACCTCACAAAAAAAAAAATCCATCTTCATGTGACCAAAGATCAGTTAGTGACAGACATAGAAACACAGACAGATGTACAGTGATATGGAACCTGCAACAATTGTAGGCAAAGTAACTTTAAAAGAAAAAAAAACCAACTTCAAAGACTTTCACTTTTTTCTGCCAGTGTGCCAAACACAAACCTCCCCCCGCCCCTGACACGTGGTTTTTGCTGCAGCTCATATAGTCTGGGGAACATGAAACTTTGTCTGACATTTCTGAGAAAGACAAGTGAGTTACGTGAAGGCAGGTTGAATACATGGGCTCTCACATGCTGAAGAATGAGCCTTTAAGAGTTTTTTTCAGACTATACCATATGGAATCTTTGAAAAGCTGGAGTTTACTACACGAATACATTATCCTGTTGATGCTCTTTACAACGGTCAGCAAAGGTAAATAAATGATCTGCTCATACCTAAGGACATCATTTACTGTTCACCTCTATCTGATCATCTTAAAACACAGCAGAATAAAAAGCGCACATACAAAAGTGAATTTTCTTTATCAGTATGAGTGGAATGTCAGCCACAAAATATTGGTTAGCTTATCAATACCATGTGGTTTCCGCTTAAAGATTGCATCTCCTTGTCTAAACTGATCATTCCCATGTTGGTTGGGTATTTATTTTTATATATTAAGTAACTAAGTCAAAAGGATTTCTTAGTGTTGAGGTTGACTCAGTTTGACTGCTCAGAATAAAAAGGGTTCAGTGTTCGGTCCGAACCTCTAACCTTGTCTGTAAAGTGTATTATATATATATTTTTAATCACAGTCGAATTGAAATACCATGATGAAATTAAAAGAATGTTATCAAGAGGTAACTTTACAATTGGAATATCAAAAGGTTAATGGAATAAAAACTGCAGCGCCACCTTCTTATGTGTTTGTTGCTGTGTTTGTTGGTTTCTAGGCTCAGTCAAATAAATGTTAAAATTAATAAATGAGATCATTTGAAATGTGTCTCTCCTGAGGGTCATCATGTGACGCTCCTTCCAGTCCTGAGTGCTTCAGAAGAACCGCCGAAGCTCCCGATTACAGGTGTGAATGGAGCATGAACAACACCACTGAGAGCAATGTGAAATTTGATCTTTACATTGAGTGAGTATTGTTCTGTGTTTGAGCTGCAATATTTTAAAATGGTGACAGCATCGCAACCAAAAATTGTCCAAGGTGACCTTTTGTTATTATTGTGTGAATAGTATTGATCTGGCAAATAAAAGATAGTTAATAAACACCAATCCATCCTCTCCATATTGTCTCGAAAATAAAGCCCTCAAAGGCAGCAGACTTCTGCAAACTTATGACAATTGTCTCACCTTTGGTCAAGCTTTGACATCGCTCTACTGAAAAAAAGAGGCAACAGTTGGGAGACGCTTAGCTTAGTGTAAATATTGGAACAGTGGGTAACAGGTAGCCTGCTTCTGTTTAAAGGTATAGAAAATACAGTTCAAACAAATAATATGTATCACATGTGAATTGATGAGTCTTTGAGGGACTGGAAGGTGGATGTTGTTACCTTTAGACAAAACAAGTCTAGCTGTATTATCGTAAAACTGGAGTGCAGAACTTTTGTCTCCCCCCTCCTCGCAGTCAGTACTGACCACTGTTTCTGACATCAGCTGGGATGATGGTGGAAGCTTTGGAAGAAAATCACAGTTTCCAAGTAAAGTTTCTGGAGTGAATGCTCAAGAAATAAAATAAACTCCGCGTTTAGAGAAAAGTAAAAAATAGTTTGATGTCAAGGGCTTCATTAAATGTATACTTCTAACTCTGAGTCTGAGGACATGTGGGATGTATTTATGTCGTTTTCAATTAACTAGGTCTATATGTTTACCCACAGTGAAGTAAGAGTCAGGAACATTGCAAGGACCTGGTTTGAGATCAACGAGAAACCATTTAAACGACTTAAAAATCGTTCTGTCAACATTTGGGTTGAAGCTCACATAGGAAACTCCAGCTGCGCGTCCACCAACACGTCTGTTGTGCTCTCACACACAGGTATTGGAAGATCCTCGTATTTCACCCAACAACATGAGAGTTTAAAACACTGTTATTGCCGCTATTGCTATTGATAAGGTAGAAACTTTATATGAATAATTGTAAAAAACAAACATCACAAAACATTTATTTTTGCTTTTCCTCAACAGTAAAGTATGAAGCACCAAAACACATTTCCATGTCCTGGTTACAAAACAACCTCAGCTTGAACTGGACGGCATCAGAGAAGCATCCAGCTGCAGCAGAAATCCTGTTACGCAGAGATGCACACCGCACAGATTCATGGAAACACGTAAGGATGATTTTATTTCCAAAGTTTAATACAACTGAAGTTGTTGCTAATCAATTCATTTAACTTATTAACCGTATTGCTATTACAGATAACAACAAATACCACCAGTGACACTTCAATGCGTGAGTTGTCTCTTCAATCTTTATAATTCAAGTGTTTTTAAGTTCATATTTATTTCCCACAATAAATTCCTCAAAGATATCAAAACCAACAATGTCTTATCTGTGATGTTACACAGGCTCAGTCAAACATTGATGTCACTGAGAAGAAATTGTGCATTTCCTGAGGATTATATTCTGTGTCCTAATATGAACAAGTGTGTGTTTACAGCAGCACAGCAGTGAATGTGATATTCACACAAACTAAAATGCAGTTGCCTGGTTCATTATAAAGTAGGAGGATTTCACAGTGCAACAATGGAGAACTACATGTATGTTGAAGAGGAACAGATATCAGAGTATGGAAACAGGTTTTGGTTTTTAGTGTTTAGTGTAATTCTTTGTTAGCTTTGGGTCTTTCATGTGGTTTTATTGACGATTTATTGACGATTTCATGTGGTATTATTGACGATAGGAAGCAAATATAAATATATTAAATAGAAATGAATTGAGAATAGAAAATGTGTACATTTCAAACTCATTAAATATCTCTGTTTTTGTTTTAATCCAACAGACCATGTGCTTGTTGAGAATCTGTTAAAGGATACAGTTTACAGGGTTAAAATCAGACATCGGTCCACTAAGGCCCTAAACCCACTGTGGAGCGACTGGTCTCCTGTTGTGATTGTTCCTGCAGGTAAACTCCCTGATTTCAAGTATTTTGCTAAAGACTTCTGATTGATAAAGTGCGTGGCTTCACAAATCACAACGACTCACTGAGACCAGAGAAAATGTACTGATATCTGTCACTGGATAACTCAAACTCAATTATTTATCCTAGAAATATCAGTCCTCTCTACCACCCCTTAACATTACATTATCCAGGGTTACAAAGTGTGGCTAGGTAACCTTAAGAAGCCATTAAGAGTTAGTCTGATTTTTATCATTTAACCTAAAACCCAGAACAGTTTTGCTAACTATTTTCCAATGAGAGTTGCTCGAAGAACAACAATTTGTAACACTGACAGCGCTCCTTTCAGGACTCCCTTTTCAGGACTCCCTTTCAGGACCAATATCCCAGAATTACCTTTATGAAAAATATAAAAATGTCCATTGTTAGTACTCACAGCTATCAAGCTAGCAGTGTGTGGAAGATTATGGTGACGCACAATTACACGCGCAGACAGGAAGGTTGGTTGAAGTCCTGTGACAGCCACAGATATCAGACCTTTTTGTTCTTCGTCAGAGCATTTGATCTATTAATAGCAGTCAGGTTGTTGAGAGTATTTCAACACCTATAAAACACCTCCCTAAGAACATTAGGCTGCCCGCCCTAGATTTGTTTTTCAAAATGCATACATGTTCCTTATTTGTACCTTTGTAGATGGAAACATGTGAGCAGATGCAGCCTTAAGATACTAGCCTTATTATCCCTATCTTGTATTTGTATTGCAGAGCTGGAACAAAAACCTGAAGTAACCATGAATATAACCCTTTCAAATGGGACTCGAAAGGTGGCGCTAACGTGGAAGGTAAACCAGTGCCCGGAAACAACACCAATACATTCATGCTGGGTCGAGATAAGAAAAGACATATTTACTACAGTTGTGCTTGATGTGTTGGGTGGCATGTCTCTTCTGCCTGGGGCCCCCAGAGCGTCTTGGGGAGCCACTGGCTACATACAAATATAGGGATGCATTTAATTAAATAAAAAAAATGCTGTGTATATTCCTGACATTATGTATGTAATACAGTAAATTCCTTATATTCACAATGTACGCAGTTAAACCCTTTCTACCGCAAAGAAAAAACACCATCAAAATGTTTTAATTTGACTGCAAATAACTAAATTGCCCTTGAGGTTATTGTGTAAAATTAATTATATATACCATTAAGGTCCGCGTTGAACTATTAGAGTAGAATTTAAGCTTCAGGTTGTCTTGTCATTTTATGAAACAAATGTTGCCAGAGATAAACATTTCGTGACTATTTTAAAAGTTTAAAGAAAATGTTCAACCTCACTAGTTTGAATGAGTTGAAACCTGGCACATAAAACTCTCTTGACTGTTTCTAAACAGGGTTTGTTACACTTTTTCATCTTATATTTCTCTCTCTCACCTGGTGCTGCTTTGTACCACTCACAGTTTATCATGGTGACCTTGTCCAGTGGTTCAGTTTGCTGTTTGTCTCTTCTGCTCTTTAGAAGATGCCTCATGCTGCGACGTACAGTCTGAATGACACACAGTCTTCCAATGGCTGTACTTGTAAGAAAATAAGAGATTATCCCATCAACACGACTGAGACTACATATACTACTTTTGTCTCGTACTCTGCCGTCAAAATCTTTGTTAACGGCAGAAACGCAGCAGGAAGTTCTCCACCAGCAATCCTACAAATACCAGCCGTACCAGCTGCAGAGTTAAAAAGTAGGCCGAAGTGTGTGTGTGTGTGTGTGTGTGTGTGTGTGTGTGTGTGTTTATCATGTATATCTTTCAGTTAGTCTTTAAAGCTTTTTTTTCTTTTCCCCACTGTAGTTTGTGACAACACCTTACTGAATATAAAACCAAAGAAGAAAACTTGCCCCGAGTGGTTCGAGCTTCAAGATGAAGATTTATGGCCAAGGTCTGTTTCTGATACAGACATTAAGGACTACGTTCGCTACCTGTACTTTGAACACAAATGCATTGATGGGAAACCATGGACACTTAAAATGTGCCTCTTTTATCAAAAAGAGGGCGGTAAGTGTCTTTAAATGAGATTTTAATATTCTCAGGATGATGCTGACACTGGTCCAGTGCAGATCGAAGTTTAATAAAGCAGTGCTAAGTTTATTAAATAGGTTTTTCTGACCCAACATTTTTGACCCAACCTTTTCTTTTTCTCTGCAGCTCCCCTCAGAGAACCTCAGGACTTCATTGCTTTCAGTGAAACACACACTTCTAACTTGTCTTGGAAAGCCATTCCCTCTGCAGACCAGCGAGGTTTCCTCACACACTACAGCCTGTGCAGCGTGAAAGTTAGTTCACAGGATGAGCGCAAAGGTTTGAAACATCCTTTTACTCATCAGTAGATTTTTCTTTAGATTCATTTGATTATGTATTTTAAATATACTTCACCAATTGTAATACTTCTGATTGAACCACAAACGTACTTACGCTTACAGAATGTGAGAAAATGAACATTATAATATCACAGCCAAGTTTGTTTAAGTGTCAGCAGTGTGTCCCTTTCTGAACGTTTTTCAGAGTGCCATAACATATCAGCCTCAGTGATGAAATACCGGCTCGGAAACTTGACGCAAGGAACGAAATACAACGTCAGCCTGGTTGGAGTGACCCGAGTAGGAGAAGGACCTGAAGCCACAGTCACTATCAACACGCTGCCAGAGAAGCCTGTGAATGGTATTAAAACTGCCTTGTATTTCTATATTTTTAGTTACATACAGGTCACTGTAGCCGTTTTTACACATGTGGGAGCAAACACAACTTTTTTTTTTCTTCTCTTAAATTAGTGTTGTGGAGTCTCTGCCTGCTGATTCTGTTTGTTATACTCACAACAATGTGCACCTGCATCTTGAAGAGGTAGGTTAACCCTCCTGTATTATTCTACAGTTTGCCAAACTGTGCTGTTTTTGTTTATTACCCGCTCTCATTTTTTTAAATGCCATGGCAGCCTTTAGGAATTTGGTTTGTTTGAACTTTTGCAATCTTCAAATCCGAAGTTTTATCTTTTTCTAAACTTTTTTTCCAACACTTAGAATCAAAGACATCTTCTCTGCTGTGCCGACACCTGTTATTCCAGATTTCATCCCTTATCAACCAGAGAGTCAGGTAAGAGACAGTTATTTAACAGATTTACAGCTGTTAAGCAGATGTTGACTTTTGTCTCCTTCTGAAAGCTTGACAAATTAATCTGTGGTCATTTAGTTTTTTTAGGTTTACAAGTGCCTTGGGGCAAGGTGTTTTAACATTATGCTAATGACTTACACTGATATTAAATAGAACAGAGTACAACTTTATCGTCTACTGTGGTGAGAAGACCTTAGTATTTAGAGGCGTAAATGACAGGCATGGGGAGGCAGCTGGTGTTGCTGAATGCATTGTACGTTTCGATAAAACAAAGGAAAGTCCCTCATGAAACTGTAGAAAGACAATGTGAAAAAAACACCAACTGTGATGTTGACCGGAAAGCAGAACCATGACCATTTTCTCCGTCATAGTAAAGACAGGTTACAGTAACTCACTCTCATTGTTCTGTGTGAACCACAGAGCTTGTGTAGGTCCTGTTTGTTTACTATTTATGGCAATCAAACAGGGCAGCCAACAAAAAAAAATACTTTTACACTCTTCATCAGATCATTATAGGATTTACATTTTTACATTCAGCATTCCTCTGCTAATGTGAACAGGATTTTCTGGAGAGAAAGGAGGAGGTGGATGAGCTGACGCTGCTCCAGCTTCATCCAGAGGTAAAGTCTGTCCCTGAGGATGCAGAGGAGAGCGCTGTTCTCGCTGGAGAGTGGGAGGAAGACACTGATGAGGACGAGGACAACGAGAGATGGGATTCAAGGATGTTAGGAGGGTCCAGTGATGAGTGTCTGAGTCCTGGCTCTACAGAGGAGGCACTGAGGAGCTCCAGAGAAGGAGAAATTACAGATGTGGAACAGCTGGACAATGAGATCGCCATGCTGATATACAAGAAAGGTCTGGTCTTCAATGTGAAGACGGACTCCCTGTGAGATTAATTTAAATGATTTTACTGCCCCACAGCACAACATTGACTTATTCTGAAGACTGCATACATATTTTAATGTGCAGAATCATCTACTTATTAGGAAAATGTTTGTTAAATGTTCATGTTTTTTTTTCCCACTGACAGCCTTTTCAATGCAGGATCTCAAATCATTGTTCAGACTTCAGATTTTTTTTCATTTTAGGTAATTTCAGATAGAGAAAATCTCAACAACCTTTGGATGAATTGCCATGAAACTTTTAAAATGCATTCTCAGAACATGATTCATATCGACATGGGTGATCTTATGACTTTTCATCTTGGGTTTCCATGAGCTCAAAATCCATACAAATGTTTGTAGATGACAAAACACCATCAAACTAATGACATCTGCACACTGCTATTCATGCTGCTTTGTATGACATTCAAATGTAATTTTTTATAAAGCTCAATTATATATAGTAAAATATAATTGAACCATTAAAAAAAACACAATCAGATATCAGCCTCTCCTTAAGAGTCTGGTCCATTGTAAGGCAGTGTAAAATGAAACCTGAGGATGCCAGTAAAGAGCCAGTGTCTTTGCTATGGCTGAGCACAACTGAGAGAATTGCCTAAAGGTGAACATGTGACAGGAAGTGGTCACAAAAAAAACCAGTGACCTTAAAAGAAGGTAGCTCATGCAAGGTGACACACTATTACTCATTGCCAAAGAAGCTTCTGTGGTGTTTCGATCTACCTTGTTCAAACTAGAACATGCCATGTTTTTTTAAGAAGTGATGACAGACCAATAGCATTTACCACCCCACTGCACCCTAGTTTCTCTGCAAAATAAATATTTGACCTGCTTCCTGTATTGTCAGGTGGTGGCCTGCTTGCGGCGTGTGTCACTTTATTGTTTTTGATAAACACCATGTGGGGTGAAGAAAATACCATGAACAGATACCACAGTATATATATATATATATATATATATATATATATATATATATATATTAGGGCTGTCAAGTTGACGCGTTAATAACGCGTTAACACAAAATAAATTAACGCCACTAATTATTCTAACGCGATTAACGCATGTGTATTTTTTTTCCTCGGCCGCCGCGTAGTTTCAGAGCGCATCGAGTTTAAAATACCATCTACAAGCTAATGCTGACAGCCCCGCTAATGCTGACAGCCCCGCTCCTGCCGCCCGCTTGTGGCAGACCACACTTCCACGCTCACCGACTGGCACCGACTGGCTATTGGGAGGACCGGGAGGGTGTGTGTATGTGTGGCCCGAGCGAACGAGAGAGAGACCTTACGTGCATTGTTGTTGTTAGCATCTGGGGCTAGATAGCTGCGCTAACGGATATAAGGAGCTGTTTAAATGAAAACAGAGGAGCGACATTTCGGCACAACTGCGCCGAGCACTTGACTTTATGCAGGAAGCCAGACAGTGGGACATTGTACGAAAAGTCAGCACACTCAGCACGGATAGTGCGCAACATGATTGCAGCGTCCAGGCAGCTCCCGTTCGAGCGCCTGCCTACACACACACACACACACACACACACACACACACACACACACACACACACACACACACACACACACACACACACACACACACACACACACACACACACACACACACACACACACACACACACACACACACACACACACACACACACACACACACACACACACACACACACACACACACACACACACACACACACACACACACACACTAAAAACTTGAAAAATATTCCTCTAAGGTACATTTAGAACAGATACAAAATGTGCGATTAATTTGCGATTAATCGCAATTAACTATGCACAATCATGCGATTAATCGCGATTAAATATTTTAATCGACTGACAGCCCTAATATATATATATATATTAGTGCTGTCAAAATTATCGCGTTAACGGCGGTAATGAATTTTTTGAATTAATTGCGTTAAAATATTTAACGCATTTAACGCATGTGCAGAATGGCCCGCCCCATACGTGCCACCAGTGGCAGCGCCAGGGTATGGCTGGGGTAGGCTACACCAGTAATGGCTTAGCCCCACCATGAAAAATGATGTTAAAGTAAGCAAAATAAAGTCTGCCAACTCGCGCGGAGTAAATTGCACAGACAGCAGTTAGTAAGATTGATTTCAGTAGCCATGATTTTGAAAACTTTTGTCACGTAGTGATCGTCTTCTCAATAGAACATCTTTGATAACGGCGTGGTGTTGTTGTAGGAAGTCCCGACGGAGAATACTTTTGCTGTAGTACAGGGGTGCACATAACTGGTACGCAGGTTATGTGCGTAATCTCTCTGAAATGCGTACCGTCACTTGTGTCACAAAACGCATTTGCGTACCGACGTACTTGTGAAGCTTTTCCAGAAGGCGGTTAGATCATGAAGCGTGTCAAAATGAAAGACAGCCACACACCTATCAATCATCAAACCGTGGGGTCTTAATTCATTACAGCAACCTGATCTCACCAGAATGCGTGACTCCACCACGCAACCTAAAACACCACATTGCGTGGTGGAGTCACGCATTCTGCTACATTTGCGTGTCGGCACCACGCAAAAAACCCCAATGTAAAGTGAATGAGGCTCTTTTGTCGTGGTGCACACACGCATTTCTACAACGTCCCGCAGTGGAGCTTTTATTCTATAAAACGTTTTTAAAATCTACTTTATAGCTTGTAGTAACACTCACGGGAGGCTTCTTTTATTTTATTTGTATTCATAATAATTTGTATTTGTCGTCAGAATGTATTATGGTGCATTAGTTACGAATTTTTGTTCTCAAAAAACAGTGCATTGTGTGTAATACAACTGTGATTTTGATTAAATTAGTTAGTTTTTAAGGAAGGCCAGAGCTTCAGCTGTGTCAATAGATTGTTCCCTTTAGTTAACGTTATTTAAAAGATAATGATCATGTCCCCTTTATTGTATTATGAGCGTCCATTCCCATTGGATAACGGAGAATTTTACACCCGGAAGTGAGTATTCTCTTTACTGTCGATTGATTTTACAGTCATATCTGAACTACTCATCAACTCAAAAACACCAGATTATCCTTGTTAATTACACAACATTGATTGGTTTAAATTGTGTACAATGCTTTTGTATTTTTCCCCTTCGATTCGGAGAAACGAATATTTGTTCGGAGTTTTTGGATGGCAGAAGACACTACACTACCCAGAATCCTCAGCTATCGTTTGGGACTACACCATGTGCTTAGCTTGACAAACCCCGTGATCAGTCCCCAATCTCTGTTGGAGTGGCAGTGCGCGAAGTTTACACGGAGCGTCAAAAAGCACCTTGAAATGGAATGAAACCCATCGACGGCACACTATTCAAAACAGGAATCGAACGTGTCCTATCCCCCCACCCCCCTTAGGTTGCAGGCTCCTCCAACAGTGCAACACAATAAAACAGATACACAGAAAAAATAGTGAAATAGTGCAATAAGAGTCTATATACAAGATTGATTGGAATCTTTTTTAATTTTTATTTAACCTTTATTTAACCAGATAAAAGCATTGAGATACAATCTCATTTTCAATGCTGACCTGGCCAAGAAGTTAGCAACGTTACACATAACACATAACACACACATATAAAAGAGAACATAACTAAGAAAACAAAGACAAAAAAGCAGTCACTACATTGTGAATATGATATATTAGATAAATAATTTCTAAGTAGCAGCCAGATGAATGTTATGGATGTTGTTTCTAAGTTCAGGTGTTTCATAGTCTTATGGCCTGTGGGATGAAGCTGTCCCTGAGTCTGGTGGTTTTAGTCCGGATGCTGCGGTACCGCCTGCCAGACGGCAGCAGACAGAACAGTTTGTGGCTGGGGTGATGGGGGTCTTTTATAATCCTGAGGGCTTTCTTTAAGGTTAACGTGGTGTTTTTACTCCACTACATTTATTTTAGTTACTTTACAGAGTTGGATTAATTATGTGAAATATAAACAACCCTTAAATCAGACTTTAGTTACACCTGAGTAAAATTCAGTGAAGGTGATTGTCAAGTGCCAACAATCAGGAGAGATATTTGATAGTTGGTGCTCGAGAAGACTAAACATTTATCTGCAGATCCGTATAAAGCATATTCATTACTCGTTATTCTCTAATCGTTCATTAAAGACTGCATATAATTGATATTTTGCACATCCCTTTCAAGATTTCAAGATTTTCAAAGGTTTATTGACATATCATATACACAACTACGGTGTAGTTATGCAATGAATGAAAAACTTGGGTCACAGGTTCCTCAACAGTGCATTACAAGACATCTATCAATATGTGTGTACCTCCACCATTAAACTGTCATATTCTGCACATTTCTTATACTATCTACATAAGAGTATAATTAATGTGTATAATATCAGTTAAAATAAATGCTTCAACATAGTTAACATTGCAGGAAAGTTGATTGTCAAGTTCCAAAACAAACCATGCAATATATTAGACGTTAAGCACTTTGTCAGGCTTAATATGTATCTGTAGATAGATACCCCCAAAGCTTTTTTCTTATTTAAAAGAAGACCATAGCCTAAAGTATTCTTTAATGTTTAAATAAAGCCTTATTAGTTTGTCTGTTTTGCACATCCTCCTATCAGGCACTAAACTGTTTTGTTGTAGATATTATTTACAGTATCTTCTTGATATTTTCTATTCTATATTTATATCATTGACCTTCTACTTTCCCACTATTTTGTATGTACTCTTAATATTTAAATGTTTTCATCAAATATAACACATTCAAAAGTGCTTTACGAAAATGAAAGACATTAAGAAAAATGCATTTTAAACAGTCATTAAAAAGCAACATAATCTTCCTGCATTGCAATTACTCCAAACGTGTAATAACGTGCTTTAACCAGTAGGAGGTGCGGGTTAAAAAACTGTCAAGTTTAAAGTGTTAACAAAATAAAATATATTGCTGTTTCTGGTTTAGTTTACGACGGATATATGTTGTTATTGTTTTGATATTTGTAACAAAAGCGTTGGAAAAAACCCACAGTAACACAGAAAATATGGTCTTAACATGACCCAGCGGTCTAGTAGTTAATACAAAACAATAATATCATAACAGATTATTACTACTAACTTTATTGTGAAATTAAAACAGAACGGTAAAAGAATAGTTTCCGGTCTATTCTGATGCCCGATCTCTGTAGATAAATAAAGAACTACGATAGATGTGTAATATTTAATGCAGCCAAACCATTTATTACAATGCATTAATGTGATGACTTTCAAAGAATAAAGCAAGCACTGCTGAATAAAGTATGATTTTATCTTTTACGAAACGTGTTTTTTCATATGGAATGCAGTTGGAGGTCAACCAATCACAGAGCTTGAGGACTGATCACGGGGTTTGTCAAACAGAGCACATGGTGTAGTCCCAAACGATAGCTGAGGATTCTGGGTAGTGTAGTGTCTTCTGCCATCCAAAAACTCCGAACAAATATTCGTTTCTCCGAATCGAAGGGGAAAAATACAAAAGCATTGCACACAATTTAAACCAATCAATGTTGTGTAATTAACAAGGATAATCTGGTGTTTTTGAGTTGATGAGTAGTTCAGATATCACTGTAAAATCAATCGACAGTAAGGAGAATACTTACTTCCGGGTGTAAAATTCTCCGTTATCCAATGGGAATGGATGCTCGTAATACAATAAAGGGGACATGATCATTATCTTTTAAATAACGTTAACTAAAGGGAACAATCTATTGACACAGCTGAAGCTCTGGCCTTCCTTAAAAACTAACTAATTTAATAAAAATCACAGTTGTATTACACACAATGCACTGTTTTTTGAGAACAAAAATGTGTGACTAATGCACCATAATACATTCTGACGACAAAT